TCACTTTTTATCTTTTTTACATTTACTTCGCTAGATTATACTTCCTGAACAATATACCCCTAATACTTCTACTACCTCTACTATCATGGGATTTGAATTGACAATCCGATTTCTCTGTGATAATATGGTATAGCAGCTTGAACTGATGTACGTACGTACGAAGTTCTACGTTACAGCTGACTGAGAATTCTCTGCAAGAACACCATAGTATAACTGCTTTCCGTCCAAACATTCAAAGTAAAAGTGGATCTTCGAAATATTATAAGTCATTAGGACTTACGTTAGTCCCTGCGCCAGAAGACCGAAAGCTGAATACAAGTAACGTTAGCTTGTTGATGGAGTAATTGTTGACATTTAGATATTAATGAAATAATTAATATTGGATTTGAGCATACAAGCCCAACGATAAAATTATTTCGATTGAATATAGTTTTTATTTATAAGCTGAGGTTAACATACAAAAGAACTTTCTCTAACTGCATCTATTAAGACATTGCCTTGTGTATAATTTTTTTACCAAAGCAAACGGAAAGAAACTCTGACAATCAATATTACCTTCGTTATTGAAAATCAATTTGTTCGCGTAAACATTTTCTTCAGGAATATTCAGTAGTTTAGCTACACGATTAACTAGTGGATATAATCCACCACTTACTAAGTAAAGACCAATCCCATTCGCTTTAAACTGGTGAACGAGATCTCTGTACAAAACACGAAAAATGAATACTTTGAAAAATCGACATGGCCAATAGGATTATTAAGCTGCATTGTAGCTTCAAGTTTATAAAGTATATAAATTGAAGTCTCAAAAGGAAACTATTTTGAAAGTAACTGAGTTGTTGATACCATTAAAATGGAAAATGGGTGCTTTGATTATTCTTAAATTAGGCAACTGGAAATTATCAGAATTAGATACTGCATAACAGCGAATTCCGTATTAAATTATAAAGAAGCGGATGTAGAATGAAGAATAGTAACAGTTAGTCATAGCATAGATCCTACCATAAAAATGAATCAGTTCATGCTGCGAAACCGAGCCAGCAAGGCGATATAAAATTAAAAAGGTCCGTAGCAATGGAGCCGAAGTAATAATGATACCATTGATATTGAGAAAGGCTATAAATCGAAGGTGACTTGAAAAGCGGCCATTTCTAGGAATAAAAAGTGTGAAAGAATACTGAAACGTCAAACTTAGGCGACAATAAAGAGTGAGTTTATCTGCAATCACTGTGAACAGTTTTGAGTCAGTCTCACCGAACACTGACCAATAAAGTGAACCCCCAACTTAACAACAGTGCCCAGTCCAACGATAGATGACATCATGAACTGATGCTGTTTCTTGGTGGAGCCGACCCCAGCCTTTGTCCAACCTATTTGTTACTCCAGCCAAGAATGTGAACCGAGGTACGCATCGCTTAGGCTTGGTAAGTGATTCAGACAACCTTAGCAGATGAGGATTTGCAGTCCTATAAACAGGTTTGCTACACTTCCCTGAAACCGTACAACTAATCATGTCAGTGTTGACTGGTTGTTGTCAGCAAAACTTGCAAGATGCCTGTGGCCAAGTACTTGCAGCATACTTTTCTGGGTCATTTTACAGGTTACAGCTAGAGTTATGATGCGCAATATACTCACCTATTGGGTAAGGCGTATCGCCTTACCGCATCGTCCAAAAATGTATTCGATCAACATATAATTCTGATCTTAAAACTATCAACTCTTGTATTTGTATCTCGTTGTGTAACAATGACTTTCATATCAACTAGTCTTCACGGTAAGATTACAGACAGATAAAATACACAGCTAACGACTCTTGATCTCTAGTTTGGTAAACAAACATCGATTATGAAGTCTTCAGATTAACTCTGTTAGGAGCCTGGACACAATACCATTTAAACTATCGGTATTTCTTCCATTTATTCAGTGAATTAAAAATTGGCAAGTGATTTACACAATAATAATCGAAGCAATTATATTATTACTATAAAACTAAAAACCTTGACGCGATGAACTTACTCAATACCCGGTGTTAATTTAACTGGATAGTTATCTATGAAGTCACTAAGCTTCTTTTCATTTAAATTCATCATTGATAGGCGCGTTTCTAATGCTTTAGTAAAGTCTAATTCTCCGCTCATAGCTTCTTCAGTGCTAATGAAACTTAGAATTATAAACGAAAGTTATTGTCTACATTTTTTTAACGCTATCAGTAACTCCAAGAAAACTTGCAAGTTCATCTAGTCCTTCATCTACACAAACTGTAGAATCTACGTCCAAACAGATGCATTTGATATTAGACCAATCTGCAAACATTGATATGTTATAAACTAACAAACTAGAGCTCTTTAAACCTCAGCTAAGCAGCCTCTGAAATAGAAAGCAACCAGATGTACTGGTACACAGAAACAATCGAACGGTGTGTAAAAGTAAATAATTTCCCTAAAAACTAAGGATACCATGAGTGAAGAGGATCTGTGAGTGCTTTCCTAATACACCTAAGACTAAAACCAACATTTAAAGATCGAAAAAATTATGGTCTGCACTTCGAGGATAGAAACTCGGAAGTATGTTAGTACTTTCTTAGTACCATTTTGTCTTTAGTCGCCTCTTGAGAAAGTAAATCGAAGGCGCAGAAGCCATTTCTTTTGAATCTTAGTGCTATGAATCGATTAATCGGTAAGAAAAACACGCACCACGAGAATCTCATCTGCTCATGTCTTTTAAATCCGTCAGTAACTTCTAAGCTGTTTTAACAGAGTTGAGAGAAACCGAGTAAATCAGGTGAAAAATTATTCCTTAGTCTCTTGTGCATCATAATTAAATTACAATCACATCAAAGTGGAGATTCGGTAATACTTGGAAGTCCAACGAAGCAAAAGAAATATAAAACCGAAACTACTACTGGTTTTTGAAAAAGGGGTTGAGATTATTCATACTTTATCTAAGTGACCTATAGAGAATCTTAGATACCAGGACGGATTCCTGGAAATTTCCAAACTTCTCAGATTCGATAAAAAGATTTCCTGAAGTCTGTGTAGATTATATCCGCTGACTTAATGTTATCAAGCGACTTTTTGAATCTATATTTTTCCAGTTTGTTTCGAGCAATAACTACTCCTAAAGGTATGTGCTGTTAGGAAAAATGTGCATCTCATAACATATTTATCACCAAGTAGTGCTGTCTGGAAAAGTACCACGAAGTACTTCAAGGATCCTCACTCTTGTAACAATCCAGAAGTTAATGCGTTAGCCTAAGCTTCAAGGTTGTTCAGCAATATACTCTAGCTTAGTCGAAGGCGTAAGCGGATGGTGTCTTTCCGAAACACATTTCCAAATACCGAATAACAGAAAACCCACACAGTGGAATATTAAATGCTTTTAATGTGATTTTGACTACATTAAACAACATATTATTTGTTCTTTCTCACATCAGAAAATACAATTCCCTAACACAGTTGTGGTACACCTTGAGGAGTTGAGCGACTTTTTTTAAATCCCCACATAAAAGATCACAAAATCGTTGATATAATCAGTGACCAAAACTGTAATGTAACGTAAACAAATATCCAATATCCAATATCTTTTTCACGAGCTAGTGTAAACCAATTTGATTTCTTCGAGCTCGATTCCTGTTCTTTCGGTACGGTTTCAGGTGTTCGGTAATGTCCAATGGATGGAGGTCTAGCCACTCGACTGTCTAATTCTAGTCAGTTGGCAGTTGGTTGTGAGTTTGTATGTCTCAGGATTTGAATGAAACGTTTGTTTCGGGCAGTAGGGTTTCTGGATACTAGAAGCCGTCACATTACCAGACCAGAGATCAGTAAGTTGCAGTGTGGAGAATAATAAGGATAAAATTCTAATGCTAATATGAGTAAGATTTCAGAACTAAGTAATTAAATAGGTGATTTAGTTTATTATTTGGTAGTGAAGATTGTGAGAAAGGCCCGAGGTGTAAGCAAGGGAGAGGAAATGGATATAATAAACGAGATTGATTAATTGAGTGATTTGAGATGGCAATGATAACAACTAGCAGGTTTCAAGATATGTATCAGGCACAGCTCGTCCAAGAGGGGGATGATGATCCGTATGTGAGTACGTGATTATGAAGTCTCTTCTTAAAGCTGTCCTTTGAGGGGGCTGTGGTCACCTCGGCTGGGAGAGCATTCCGAGTTTCAACAACTCTCACAGAATTGTTTCCTCAAGCTTCCCTCAGGCTTTTTACCTGTGAATGCAGAAATCTTTCACAAGGCACTTTTAGATAGTCAGTATCTTCTCAAAGTAAGTTAGTTTTCAGGTATGCAGTAACGATCGCAACCTTGCTAGTTGAGATAGACATGCATATTTACATCACAGTTCCCAAGCATTGACAATAATGTTTGAAAACCAAGACAACCACTTGTATTCTGATGAAATTTGCATTGAAAGCTTGGACTCACTAGCTAAAGTATGGTCGGTAAAAATCAAATGCTATTGATCTCTGAATGTGGACGGGTAGACATTCAGCCTAGTGACTAAGTAATAGATGATTTCCTCCTTAATAAATAATCTATACTATAGTTGTACTGAGTATAAAATCAGTCGGTCAGTCAGATGCAACGTAAAACTTCGTACGTAAGTACATCAGTTCATGTTGCCATACCACATCAGCACAGAGAAATAATTGTCAATTCAAATCCAAAAGTAGAAGAGGTAGTAAAGGTATTAGAAGTAATCGGAGAGGTTAGGATTAGAAGATATTATTCAAGAAGTATGATTCACTGAGAAAAGTTTATAAAGTCAAGACTAGGGTGGTTGAATAATCCAGAAGATTAGGATTTGAGAACATATGTTCCTGAAGGTTCTACCATGCGAGGCAGGTCGATTGGCGAACGAAGAGACTAAAAGCAGCGAAGTCGTACTGCTGACTGCAGAGGGGTGTGACAGTAGTAAGGCGTTCCCCTCTGAACATCAGCATCCGCAACGCTTCTGCCTTTTCACAAGGAAGGAAGGGTTGGAAAAGGTCGACAGTAAAAATGTCACACTCCATGGATTTCCGTCTCTGTCGGTAAGGGTGCCCACTAAGGGCCTTTAAGAGCGTAGCTAATCCTCAAAAAATCTTTCATGAGAAGGTCGTGCGTGACCGGCCTCAAGCAGTTGTCCCTTGGACTCTGCGGTCACGCTCTCAGGTCGTTGAGACCAACACTGATCTATTTTCTTTTTCAAGTCCCTCAAGAAACACGGTGTGTGGGCAGCCGGGAACTGACAGCCGCCCTTATACCCGTAACAGCACGAGATACCAAATTGGTCGAAAATAAACCCTTCCTACACCCCCTAGTACCTCTATTCTCTCCACAACTGAGTATAAAATGCTTGTAATTGTGTCGAATAAGGTACCATTTAGTCTTATATCTGGTTCCCCACCCCTTGTCATAAATCCTACGTCAGTTACAACATGAACTGATCTGTTTAGCATATCTATCAAGCATCTAACCTGGGGGTAATACAGATAATATAATTAAATGCTATTTCGTAGCTACTGAGTATAACTTTGTTCTGCCGTGATTTCAGTATTAATTCACAGTGACGCACCATATTCCACAGTTAATAATAATAATATATTTATTCTCAAATAACTACGTTACAAGAGTCACGCCAGTTTACAGGCTAGATCAAATTGTCACAAATGCTTTCACATTTACTGTAAAAGTTATAGCAGTTAAATTAAGTATAAGAGTCAGTTTCTGATAGTATATTTACACCATGTCACTGACAGAAACAGTATAATAGAGCCACATTTTCAACAGTAGAGTACAAATAAGGATAGTGCACAATAGGTTTTGGCGATTTGCCGAGATCAATAGTGAATTTGTTGTGAAAGGTCAAATGGAACGCGCTTGATACGAGCTGTGATCATAGGTCGTAGATTTCAGGAAATTATATTTCACAAGATATCGCCAACAACAACATTTCTGTCTTTCATTTTAACATGATATTAACCTCTCGCGACTGTAAATGATTTGTGGTTTTTCGGTATGATAGATTTAACAAGGTTATGTTATAACCCAACATTTTGTAATGGAATTTTTTCACCTGATATTCTACTTATCCCGACCCATCGTAGAACACATATTAGGCTTCACGAGCAAACTTGATAAATTTGTTTCACTGAGTAGAAATGCGATTAGAAAAACCACTAGAATAATGAAAAATTGGGTTTAGCCAAAATTTATTAGTGCCGAAATTTATCTGTCAGTAAGTACAAGGGCACTGAGTGTTACGTCCAGTTTTTTGCTCGTTGATCTTACGAAGCACGGTTGTCGAGCTATTTGTAATTCACAGTCCCCAAATGTTTAAACCAAGAACGAAACTCCAAAGTAGATACCAAAGTTTATTCCAAATCACAAATTCGACCAAAATACTGTATTACAAATAGACGACCAATGTCGTTTTTCTAATTTATTAGCTCTTGGAGCAAAAAACTGCAAACGAACAACAAGGAGAAACGGGAGTCCAAAATGTCCGCAAATAATAATTCAAACAAGTTCACAAGTTAAGTAAAACAAATGTACCCAAAAACAGTGAAATTAATGATATTTATACATGAAGGTTTTGATCAGCAAAATGTCTTCGTTTCTCCCGTAACACTCAGCATTTTTATCTCATTTAGACACGTTATTACGGATACAAAACCACTTACTCACATAATTCAGTGAACTGAGATACTGTCCGGACGGTCAAGCGAAAAATGCATGCTATTTGTGCTCTCAGGATCGTAGGGCCGGTATGCACTAACGTTTTGCAACCAGGGCTTTTCAACCATCCTAGGTGAATTCTCCGTACCAACTAACCCACTTTAAGCGCTAAAAAAGCACATTTCGTTCTATCAGTTTCTGAAGAACACCCCAGCCATGAGAAGATGATGGAAAAGGATTTTGCGACACTCAGTTCTCACATGGGGACATGTAGGAGCATAATGGAGAGGAGAGGGAATATTTCGGCCTTCGAATTTTTCAGGGAATTCTATAGCAAACATTACATCGTGCAGAATTCTTGTTTAGTTAGTGAGTTGGTACTGGTCCGAAATGAATGGATTCTATCCAGAAAGATGGCCAATAAGAAATTGAAAATGTGGCAGACTAATCCAATGTCGATCTGTGGTGGACGTCTTAATGTACAGCATAACAAAAGCACTTCATCACCACTTAACGTATCTCTGTTCCTTGATGAACTGCTGTGAAATATTAAAGGGTAATACCATGTGTATGTTTCAGGAACTCAAAGACAGAATTTAGCACGATGTACGAAAAAACTATGCTAATATTCTGATTTGTCAT